AATAGATTGTCTACAACATGCTAAGGGCATCAAATAGGGAGTGAGATAGAGATGCAGCCCAAATTTCAGAATAAGATATTGACAACCCAAGTTATTGGAAGGCATACAAATCAACAAATCAACAACCCAAAATACATAATAAGATACCAAAATCCAAGAAATCCGTATAAGAAAAACGCAAAAATGAAGTTGAGCAACCGATGCTATATAAATCATTCCATTAAGTAAAATAAAAACAAAGGGCATCGATCTAGACGTGATGCCCTCCCCATCCCCCTCCCACCCATCACCGCCCCACCTGGTCCACCCCTTCCCACCCAACACCCACTCGAAACCCAACCCATATCTCATCCTCCACTCCTCACCTCTCATATATCTCCTAAGAATCCCACAACCATCTCAAATAATCCAATATTTTTGTAAAATCAGTATGCTTAAAAAAAAATTTCAGATTTGGAACTTAGGTTTGGTGGATGTCGAAAAGAGAATGGGAAAAGAGAAAGAGGGAGATAGAAAGAGGAGGGTGGGTGGGGGGAGAAGAAACAAAGGGATGATGGTGAGTGAGTGTTGATTAACTCATGATTCAGAGTCTCTTGTTTGTTTGAGAAAAAATAGTTGTTCCAGTGGGGTTTTGATAGAGAAGGTGGAGAGGATGGGGTCTCAGTTAGATAGATGGGTTTTGTTTGACCCGTTTCTATGTGAAACCCTTTAAAACCATCTTTTAATCTCAACTGTCCAAGTTTATTCAACGGTCTAGATACAAGTTTGCACTTAAGGCTATCTCCAGTCATAGGGCTAAATGTAGTCCACCCTCCAAAATATTAATTTTTTTAAAGAATAGTGCAGGACTAAATTTTTCCATCTCCAGCCATGCAGGGCTATATTTTAGGATCCTTCATATTTTATTATAGGGGGTTTCACTAAAACACCCAAAATGGGGGCTGAAATTATAAAAAAACCCAACATCCAAAATACTTTATAAACACACTCAAAACCCATCATTACACACACTCAAAACCCATTTATAAACACACCCAAAAAATATACAATTGTTGATTTTGGGGTTGATTTTGGGTGTGTTTCTATGTTTAAATAGTGTGTGGGTTTTTTTATAAATACATGTCTAGGATTGGGTTTATTTATAATAATCTATTTATTATATATATCCACCTATGACATCAACTTACTCTACTATTAGTTTTTAAAAAGCAAATGCATGGGCCCACAAAAATTTGGCCTAGACTAAAGGTGGGCTATATGTGGCCTAGTTAGAGGGCTAAATGGCCAAATGTGGCCCTCCAAATTTGGCCAAAATTTTATTTAGCCTATGACTGGAGATGGGTTTTGCATTATTTTTGGGCTATATTTGGGATATAGCCCATGGCTGGAGATGGCCTAATGTTCCCATATAGCTGTTCTCACCTGATCCGAGCGCATTTGGCCGGATGTAAAATTATGGGTCACCATTTGGCCTGCAAGCCCATGAGTTGATGGGGCCTGCCCAGCCCATTGTAGAAAAACTCGGTCTGTTACGAGCCATGGGCCTGGTCAGCCTGTTGTTTAGTGGGTTGAGCTTGAGATAGGGTATCTAAAGTCCGGCCCGTTTGAGCCCACGTAAGCCAGCCCAGCCCACAGGCCCGCATGTATATATCTTGGATTGAGTTGGGAATTAGGTTTTGTTTTATTTTTCTGGTGGTCAATGTTGGGAATTGGGTTTAGTAACGGCTATTTTGACTTTTAGAGACTCCCAACCATTAAAAAGAAGAGCATCAGGCAGAAACACGCTCATCTCTTAACCTCGCCGCTGTCGCTCATCTCTCCACACCACACTCATCATCTTCTTCTACAATTTCAGCTTAACTGACTTGTCGAATTTAGAGTCTTTGTACCTCCATCCATAACTTTGGCTGGGCAATTTCACCCCAAAAGGTTCGATCTTTTTCTTTTTTTCTTCCATGAGATGTTTGGACTGAAATGAGTAATCTGCCGTTCTTTGAAAGATTTTGTTTTGGTTGTGAAGTCTAATACTTTTTTCTTTTTTCTTTACTTGTTGGGGTTTAGTGCTGCTTCACCTGTTTCTGTTCCTTTTTTTTTTTTTTTTTCTCTTTTTCATCGAACTATTCTGTTTTGCTTTTGTTTTCGGAGACAACACTCAACATCTTGGACAATTTCTTTGTGTTGTTATTAATTAATTGGGTAAACAGCTTGGGATGGGATCTTTTTGAAACTTTCAAATTGCAGGCTTTGTTTTTGGACTTTGTCAGCTTGATATATACTGATTCTTTCTTCTTTTTTTGGTTGAATTTTGGCAGCCTCAGACAATCAAGATGGATAATGCTAGTGGAACAGTGAATGAACCTGCTAATGATTCCACCACTCCATCCAACAATAAACCTGCAAGTGCACCCAGATTAACAAGTAAAGTATGGTCTTATTTTAAAAGGGTTATCAAAATTGAAAATGGTAAACCAGTACTTAAAGCTAAATGTGTTATTTGTAATACTTTGTTTGCTGGTAGTCCTAGGAGTGGTACTAGTCATTTATCCCGTCATTTAAAAGAGCATGAAGCTGCACACGCTAGGATTAGTCCAGGTCAAATATTATTAAATGCTGCTGTTGCTGGAAATTTGACAAATTTTGCTTATGATCATGCTGTTGCTCGTAAAGAAGTTGTAGATTTTATTATTAGAGCAGAACTGCCATTTAAATTTGTTGAAAGCCATGATTTTACTGGCATGATTCAGCGTGCATTTTGTCCTCAATATAAAGGAATTTCAGCTTCTACATGTAAGGGAGATGTGATGAAAAAATTTGGTAAAGAAAAGAGTGATTTGCATGCCATTTTTGAAAAACTTGATTCAAAAATTTGTTTAACTTCTCATGTTTGGTCATCACAGCAGAAAATGGGTTACATGTCACTTACTGCACATTTTATTGATAAAGACTGGTGTTTGAATAAAAGGGTAATTTGCTTTAAAATGATTGAGTACCCACACACCGGAGAGTCACTTGCAACTCATATATTTGATGAATTGTTATCTTGGCGCATTCACAACAAAATATTTACTCTATCATTAGATAATGCATCAAATAATGATTCAGCTGCAAGTATACTACCATCATCTCTCTTGCTTGATTCTGTGCAACAAAAGTTGTTTCATGTACGTTGTTGTTGTCATATATTGAACTTGATTGTGCAAGATGGACTGAAAGTTTTATCTCCGTCTATTGATAAAATTACCGATATTGTACGTAGCATGAATTCCTCTAACAAGAGACATGAAATTTGGGTAAAATGTTGTACTGGTTTCAATATGGGAAAGATAAATATAGACAATGATGTGCCTCATAGGTGGAATTCCACCTATGAGCTTTTACTTGTAGCTATAAAGTATAAAGTCCCTTTGCATTGGTATGTTAAAGAGATAAATGAATCACTTTCTTGCAATTTACAAGTTCCTAATGAAGAAGATTGGAAAATAGCTCAACTTGTTAGTGGGTTTTTACAAAATTTTTATTCTTCAACAAAGATGCTTTCTGGTGTGTATTACCCTACTTCGAGTCTTGTTATTAGTTGTTTAATAGATATTCATGCATCATTTGCTGCATATTCTGAATTTTCTGTTTTTAAGGATGCTTTGACTGAAATGAAAGCAAAATTTGATAAATATTGGGAAGAGTTTCCTACTGTGTTTTGCTTTGCTACTATTATGGACCCTAGGTTTAAAGTATTTGCAATTGGTGAATGGTTAAAGATGATAGGTATTGATCAATTAACCATTGACTCAAAACTTTTAGCTTTAAAGACCTTGTTATTTCAATTCTTTGATGTCTACAAAAGGAGTGTAACGTCTTATGTGGGTCAAAATGTGCAATCTGCAGTTGTAACTTCTAGCACCTTGAGCCAAACTCCTGGTTCTATAGTTGTCCCTATTATGCGAAATTACTCTATGCAATGGTTGAAAAGGGCAAAGCTAAAATATTCATCTTCTTCCACCACCACTTCTGAGTTACAGTTTTATCTTGATTTACCAACGATAGAGGTTGCTGATGATAACCAATTTAGTGTTTTGGGTTGGTGGAAAAGAAATCAATCATTATATCCTATTGTTTCTCTTATGGCTCGTGACTTGCTAACTATTCCAGCTTCTACTGTAGCATCAGAATCATGTTTTAGTGCAGGTGGTAGAGTTTTATCTGAGAAGATGACCAGTTTGAGTCCAAATACAGTAGAAGCATTAATTTGCTTGAAAGATTGGGCCTTAGCAAATTCAAGGATGCAAGATCAAGCACAAGATGAGCAACACGCAGAAGAATTAATGAACATTAGAGCATCAAGACCAGATTGGATGACAGCTAGTGAAATGGTCGAGAGTGAATCTGAAAATGAGACAATTGAGAGTTGAATTGTGGACAGCCTCTTGACATGGCATATGTGTTTGGAATGCTATGATTTTAATTGTAGTTCAGACTTTGATTTTTGCGAAGGATTGTTGTACGTTTCAGATTTTTGTAAGAATGGAATTCATCTTGCTAAATTAGTGGAAGTTCTCTCTCTCTCTCTCTCTCTCTCTCTCTCTCTCTCTCTTCATATATGTAATTAAAAGAAATGGCAAACTAGCAATGCTGCAAGTCTAAAGGACCTGTAACCTCCAGACTCCAGTGATGAAACCCCACACATTTCCAATGTTCTGATAGCAAAGATGATAGATCAAATTGGTAAACAGGAATCACAGGTTTGCAGCACTGCGTGATGCTTGTAGTCACCGACGATGAATGCTAAATTTGGTTAAGCAGGTTGAGTTAAACTTGTGATCTACTTGATCTGGAACTACAAACATTGCACCTGCTATAGCACCATAATGTATACTCAGGCATAAAATTTCATTACTCAGAGACACAATTATGACTATACTCTGGCAAAATTCATTAGCTTGATAAACAGACTAACTAACAACTAACAGTGAAATCTTGATACACAGATTGACAGATCATGACAGTAAAATTCAATGTACAAATTGATTCAGAGACCTTTGGTCTGTTTTTGCTTGGCTCATTTTCCGTCACAAAGCTTCTGCATATTGCCAAACTAAAATATAGTTCTACAGGATCATAAGAGGGAAAAAAGGAAAATAAAAAAACAAACCATTTTCCAAACCTACCATTAGTTGCAATAAAACTCAACAGATCAGAGAATCAGCATATACCTAACTATATGTCTCACAGAAATATAGAGCATATAGCTGAAAACTAATGATCTGATCATCCCTGACAATGACATTTACTTGAATATTGCATACATGAGAGTAAACAGAAACAGCGCGCAAACAAAATTCATTCCCTTCTGCAGATGAAGCATCTTCGCCTCAAGTCTTTCCACCCTAGCCTCCACTCGAGTTACCCTTGCTTCCAACATTGCCAGCCGGGCTCCCCACCCTGTCTCCGCCACATCTACGCCTTCTGCAGTACTTTGTACATAATCTTCACTCTGAAGTGAATCCTCTTCCCAAGGTTGATAGTTACACATTTCAACAGACCAAAATTCCTGAACAACAGCCCAAAATTCTCCCAGTTAGAAACTTTCAAAGCTAGGTTTCCACCTGGGCAACCATCTTACCTCACACAAATTCAAAGCTATCAATGCTAAAGCAAGATAGCAAACAGTTGTGACTAGAATATGCGCCTAATAATTTCAATAAACTATGAACATACAATTTTAAAAAGGACATGACCTTTTGGTAGTGATATGATCAATAAATTCCACAGGGCCATGAATGATTTAATACCAAGAAGAAATTTTTAGTAAACACCACAAAAGGCGGGTAGCTAAACCACCATTGCAATCTGACTAAAACTCACTAAAGCCATCCTTTTGGGTTCAGTTACATGTAGGGTTCTATTCAATATGAGCTAAACTCCATTCAGGAAAAATAAATGAAACCATGAACCCAAATTGTTTACATTTCACCATTGCACGTCAAATTTAAATGAGAATAGAAGGTGCTTCAATTAGCATTTATTTATTAATAGTCCTTCACGTTTGGACTTTTTATCACAAATGGTCCCTGCCGTCAGAAATTCTGTTAAGTGTATGATGTGGAAAATAAATGGAGCCCACATGTCCAATCACATTGTGACATGTGGATTAAATAAATAAATAAAATATTTTTTAATAATAAAAATCCCTGGCCTGCAACTTCTGGGTTTGGGGATTTACAGACTTTCTCAGCTGCAATTCCATTTTCAATCTAATTTCACCTTCATTTGCGAAAGGCCCATATTTGCTACAAGCAAAACAAAATAAAATACAGTAAAACATACCTTTGAAGAAACCCAAAAGCGAACAGAAGAGAGCCTGTGGGGTTTTCTTGTTACAGCTGAAGCACAGTGTCCTCAATTATTTTCGGGGTTTCTTACCAATCAAGATTTGAGAGTGGGAAAAATGGACAAACCCGATACCAAGATAGCAAATGGGTATTGGCCGAGCCCCATATCTCATCACATTCCAGATATCAGATTATACACAACAAATACATGATGGTGTAGTATATTACATTTCAATAAGGCTTAAATGTTGAAATGGTTCTTGTGTTTTACCTTATCGGCCAATTTAGTCTCCGTATTATTAATTTGGCCAATTTAATCCCTGTGTTTGTATTTATTAACAAATTTGATCTTTTCCGTCAAAATTATGTTAAAATTATTATTTTATTGAGAGTTCATTGAACATTATACATGGTTTTTCGTCGTTGGATTGATTCTTTTCTATGTCTTGTTAAGTTTTAGGACTTCAATATTCCACCTGCTCTTTTATTCTTATTCTTTTTCCTATTTTTTAAAATAATTTTAGTTTAATGTTGTTTTACAATTTTACCCCCCTTTTAATTAAAATCTATGTATTTTAATATTTTAGTTTTTTTTAATTAATATTTTAATATTTTAATTTACCAAGAGTACCCTCGGATTTTTTGAATGTTTCACTTTTAAAGTCCTTATTCCTTTATATATACTAGCCTAAAAAGGTAAAATACAAATAAATAGCATTTGTCAATATCATTGGTAAAAAAATTGTAACCAAAGAACTGGGATTGGGTAAAGAAATATCAAAAGCACAGGGGTTTTAAACAAATAAATAAGTAGAACAGAGCATAGGGCAAAATTGAAATATGACCTTGTCCAGGCCCTTACACATAAACGGCAGAAGGACTATTTTTCTCCTCCAAACCGAAGCGGAGTGGCAAAGAGGGCTGTTCGCTTTGCGACGTTCACCCTGCATTTTTCTCACAGCCAGCAGAAAAACGACAACGCAATGGCGTCGTCTTCTTCTTCTTTGTCATCAGCCTACGACATGCCATGGGTGGAGAAGTACAGGCCCAGCAATGTCGCCGACATTGTGGGCAACGAAGACGCCGTGTCTAGGCTCCAGGTCATCGCTCGCGACGGCAACATGCCCAACCTCATCTTGGCCGTACGTAGCTCTCTCACTCACTTGCGCACAAACCCAACACATCAATTTCACTAAACCCTAAACCCTAAACCTTAGGGGAATATTCAATATATAACCTGATTGTGTAAAAGTTTTAGCATTTGTTGATTGGAAGTTGTAAAATTTTGATAAAATTTTGAAATGTTTTAAAGAAGATTAGCAAAAGTTTGTTGCTTGTGCTCTCACATTCCATGGGTATTCATAGGTACAGCATAAAATTACCCTAATTTAAGAAAAATTTGAAAGATACAACTAGCAACAAAGATGTAAAACAATAATCTATTCGAATTTATTTCATGTAATGGCTTCAGTCGTAATTGAAAAACCATAAAGTTTTTATTAAAAAAAATTGATGAAGGGGTTTAGGGGCTCTTAAATTCATGTATTAAGTTTTTTTGATAAATCAAACCTCGTTTTTATAGAGTGTTTCATACATGGACTCCTAGGGTTGCAATATTATTTTTTAATGCGTAGTGGAAGTGAAGTATATGCTAGAGGCAACTTCGGTGATTTTAAGAGCTTAGGTCCACAGAAACTTGTGACTCTTATATTTAACATGGGGATTGCTTATAAGAGAGGTTGAAGTGTTAAAACTTTTGTCTTATCTTATGGTTTATCTTGTTTGGGATTTCGAAAAATGAAAAGATTTCTTCATACTGAAAGCTGTTAGACTCGGTCGAGGGGGGTGTTTTGTGTTCAATATTCCACCTGCTCTTTTATTCTTATTCTTTTTCCTATTTTTTAAAATAATTTTAGTTTAATGTTGTTTTACAATTTTACCCCCCTTTTAATTAAAATCTATGTATTTTAATATTTTAGTTTTTTTTAATTAATATTTTAATATTTTAATTTACCAAGAGTACCCTCGGATTTTTTGAATGTTTCACTTTTAAAGTCCTTATTCCTTTATATATACTAGCCTAAAAAGGTGAAATACAAATAAATAGCATTTGTCAATATCATTGGTAAAAAAATTGTAACCAGGTACAGACTCTTATTAAGCAAAAAGACTAAGTTGGAAGGTTTCAGTTGCATCGAGTCACTGGACCTATGCTTCTACTGATCCCTGTTTATTGTTTTCAGGGTCCTCCTGGAACTGGTAAGACCACTAGTATACTCGCTCTTGCGCATGAGCTCTTGGGACCAAATTATAAGGAGGCTGTTTTAGAGCTGAATGCATCAGACGACAGGTGAGTACATTTATAGTATTTATTGAATTCAATTTATAAAAAAAAATATTGGTATTTATCATAAACTATTTATTGTTGCTTTCTTGTCTAGGGGAAATTGAAATATGACCTTGTCCAGGCCCTTACACATAAACGGCAGAAGGACTATTTTTCTCCTCCAAACCGAAGCGGAGTGGCAAAGAGGGCTGTTCGCTTTGCGACGTTCACCCTGCATTTTTCTCACAGCCAGCAGAAAAACGACAACGCAATGGCGTCGTCTTCTTCTTCTTCGTCATCAGCCTACGACATGCCATGGGTGGAGAAGTACAGGCCCAGCAATGTCGCCGACATTGTGGGCAACGAAGATGCCGTGTCTAGGCTTCAGGTCATCGCTCGCGACGGCAACATGCCCAACCTCATCTTGGCCGTACGTAGCTCTCTCACTCACTTGCGCACAAACCCAACACATTAATTTCACTAAACCCTAAACCCTAGGGGAATTTTCAATATATAACCTGATTGTGTAAAAGTTTCAGCATTTTTTAACTGGAAATTGTAAATTTTTGAAATGTTGGAAAAAAGATTGGTAAAAGTTTGTTGCTTGTGCTCTCACATTCCATGGGTATTCATGGGTTTGAAATTGGGGAAAAGTTTGTTGCCTGCTCAATAAGTGTGAACCAAGTAGGCTTATTGGAATTTCGAAGCGAGCTTATTAGAATTTGGATCAATTTAATGAACTTTTTATATTAATGCGTAGTGGAAGTGAAGTATATGCTAGAGGCAACTTCGGTGATTTTAAGAGCCTAGGTCCACAGAAACTTGTGGCTCTTGTATTTAACATGGGGATTGCTTACAAGAGAGTTTGAAGTGTTAAAACTTTTGTCTTATCTTATGGGTTATCTTGTTCGGGATTTCGAAAAATGAAAAGATTTCTTCATACTGAAAGCTGTTAGACTCTGTCGAGTGGGGTGTTTTGTGTCTGGGGGACAGACTCATATTAAGCAAAAAGACTAAGTTGGAAGGTTTCAGTTGCATCAAGTCACTGGACCTATGCTTCTCCTGATCACTGTTTATTGTTTTCAGGGTCCTCCTGGAACTGGTAAGACCACTAGTATACTCGCTCTTGCGCATGAGCTTTTGGGACCGAATTATAAGCAGGCTGTTTTAGAGCTGAATGCATCCGACGACAGGTGAGTACATTTATAGTATTTATTGAATTCAATTTATAAAAAAAATGTTGGTATTAATCATAAACTATTTATTGTTGCTTTCTTGTCTAGGGGAATAGATGTTGTGAGGAACAAAATTAAAATGTTTGCTCAAAAGAAAGTCACATTGCCTCCTGGGCGGCATAAAGTTGTCATCTTGGATGAAGCTGACAGGTAATCCTGATAATATTGTCCCATGAAAGTAATGTGCAACGAACTGCAAACTGCCCTTATCCATCTCCCTATGTGTTTTTACTTTTTGGTGCATGACTGTTCCTTCTTTGGTATATTTCTTTCATCCCAAAACACATATATCTCTCTATTTTTTTTATACAACATTCTTATTTACATTACTTTATCTAAATTGATTTTTGTTTTGGACGGTGGGTATTGGAAATTATTTTCAGTATGACATCTGGAGCACAACAAGCTTTGAGGCGGACAATGGAAATATATTCAAATTCCACTCGTTTTGCTCTTGCGTGCAATGTATCTTCCAAAATTATTGAGCCTATTCAGAGTAGATGTGCCCTTGTCCGATTTTCTAGATTATCTGATCTGGAGATACTTGGTCGCCTAATGATAGTGGTTCAAGCTGAAAAGGTAAAGAAATTTATTTACATTGTAATGTCTATTCTGCATACTGTCATCAATTAGCTTCAAAGGAATGATAATCACCAAATATATTGGTAGATTGGTTCAACTTTACTTTACTATTAGGTTGGAAGAAATTTTTTTTATGTCGCCACTAGTTTATCAGACAGTATATTCTTTTATTCTCTGTCACATTCCAGCATTTACATTTATTCAATTTTTTCTTTAATACTATCTGTTCAGCTTCATTTCTGTGCCCCACTACTGCTAGAGCCTGAAACGCCGACCTTGCTTAGCTATTTTTGTTAGTCAGAATGTTTTTCGTTTACTCAGTAAACTGATGTGTGTATGTGGTCTCTTGATCCTTCCCTCTGTCGGTGTGTCACACTTGCAGCACAACATGGTAACATGTCTTAATGCATGTGTTTGTGGTATCATGCCAAAAGAACGGAAGAAAAAACCTTGCAACTTCTGTTGGTTGTCTGTCTAAATTCTATCATTGCTTGCTCAGTAGTGATTTTATAGGTTGATATTTCATTGGCCTCTTAATTGATGTCACCCCAAGAACTGAGGTTTGAGAAGATATTTGATACTTATGCCTTTAGATGAAGCTTAATAATGTATCTCTATGCTTGGGCTTAGAGGTTTTTATTTCCTAGGGATTCAACCTACTTTCTAGACCATATGCCTAACGTATTGAGACTCGCTTTAATCTTGAGGCTTATGCCAAAGTTATTGGTTATTAACAATGATAAAAGTTGAAAAAGAAGTTGCTTCGCTAATCAACCGTTGCCATGTATATAAACATTGTTTCGAAAACTTTAGATTGTGTATAATTCATCTGTGTTTGTTATAAATGAAGGTTCCCTATGTTCCAGAAGGTCTTGAAGCCATTATTTTCACTGCTGATGGTGATATGAGGCAGGCACTGAATAACCTGCAAGCTACAAACAGTGGATTCCGGTTTGTCAACCAAGAAAATGTTTTCAAGGTCATATTTTTAATGAATGTTTACTTTTTGGTGCATGACTGTTCATTCTTTGGTATATTTCTTTCATCCCAAAACAAATA